GATTCCCGACGATTTTTGCTAACAGGTTGGTCGAGATACAGGAACAAACGAGGCCATCAGACTGGCGTTACGTTAGTTCTAAGCTCAACCCAGCGGATCTGCTTTACCGAGGGATCATGGTTAACCAAGAGCGAAAATAAAAACGATGGCTTAGTGGCCAAACATTTTTAGGGCAGGTGAATGGTAGTTCAGCAGGAACCACACCAGAACACACTAATGCATGCGCCTATAGGAACTATATGTTGCCAAATAAAGATTTATAACCAAACGAGACTCAACCTACGTTTCTGAGTCGATTCGAAGCTGTGAATCAATGGATGAAATTACAACGAATGATAGAGCGATTGGCTTCAGTAGTTATAAACATCAGGTAGGTGTTGTCTTTTTTTTTTTTTTTTTTGACGAACAAATTAAACTAACAACACAAAACCTCACAGTCGCCAGAGTAGAGCGGCCGAGCTTCAACATTATCGGATTGGCGGCAAGAAGGAGTTTCAGTGGATGTATTTAAGCTGGTGAATCACGCCGGTGGGACAGAGTGAGAAGGAGGTCGACGCACATATGAAAGTAGCATTATGCAAGTCTTCAAAGTCCACTACGTCATTTGAAAACCAATTACGGTAATAGGAGTAATAAGAGTTGGGGGGCGCATTAGCAGCAATCAGGTCTACCCTTTGACGTCAAGGCATCCGATTATACTACACAGCATAATCATTTTATTACCCCGTTTAAGTTATTAGACATTATCTATGAAGCGATGGACATATGATATAGTTTAAAAGTTTGGATTTCAACAATCCGAGTGAAAGATATTGGATATTACAAGCAGTGAAAGAGAGTTCAAGTCGGTTCTCAATAATAGTGACTCATAAGTGTCGTAAGTGGTTCTCATCAACCTTGCAAACAGGCAGATGAGTGGCACCCCTACCACAGAAGATCGTTTTTATGACCACTGTAATCCATTTACTGTGGACAAGGTGCGATTCATTTTGCGAGCCACTATTTGTGAGAAAAGAGACGGACCGTGGAAAAGAGATTTTATTTAAGGATTGCTTGTTCACTTGCTTCAGCTCAGGAGCGGTTCATCTAGAAATATCTAATACCCTGGACACCGATTCTTTCCTTTGTGTCTTTAGCCGATTTGCGGCATGTGGGGGCTACCCACAACGCCTGTATAGTGACAACGGCAGCAACTTTAAAGGTGCATAAAGGGCAATAAAGTGTTTAATGAGAGCTTGGAACCAAGAAAAAATATCGAAAAACCTTGCCGCTCACAATTGTGATTGGATATTTAACCATCCAAAGGCTTATCATCGAGGAGGAATATGGGAGCGGATCATCAAAACTATTAAAAGAATATTAGTAGTTGTTCTCGACGAACAACCGGTCACCGATTAGGTATTACATACGACTCTAGTCCTGGAGATAGAGAGGATTTTAAACAAACGGCCTATAGTGAAGATGGTAGAAGAAGTCGATGGCATACAAGCGCTTTCACCTAGCATGTTACTATTGCCTAGAGCAAGCGAACCAGCTAGCATCGATGAAAAGGACTATACAACAAAGTACAATAGAAGATGGCGACAAACATTGTACTTGGTTGATCTTTTTTGGAAAAGGTGGTTGAAGCTATATATCCCAACGCTACAGTTAACGCAACGATGGCACGATCCTAAGCCTAATTTGAAGGTTGGGGACTTAGTGTTGATGATAGAGTCTGCACGATCGAGAGGGCAATGGCCGAAGGCGGTCGTCACAGATATACAGGAAGGTACCGACGGCTTAGTTCGGAAGGTAACGTTAAGAACAGCTAACGGGACAGTGAGAAGAGATGTACGGCAGTTATGCAAGTTAGAAGGTGAAGTTGAAGAATCACAGAACCCTGAACAATTAGAAACATCCCAGGATTCTTCAACCTCAGGGGGCAGTGTTGGATTTAGTTGTAATGGTTGTACTACTCATGAGTAGTTGAGTGTTTACTACATAATTTGTAACTTGCATTTTATTGGTTAGTATGATCGAACAATCTAGAAGTTGTTTTCTATTGGTCGAAACATTGACTGTTTGGTCAGCCATTTTGTTTGGCATTCTATTCGCTTGGTGTGTGGGACACGGATCGTTGTGATAATTTGTTGTTGTTGTTGTTGTTGTTGTTGTTGCTTAATCACCTTGAATGTAAGTAACTAGTAAATTAATAATTGTTTGTTGCAGAACCACATACGATATTTATTTAACTGTTCCAAATAAATATTCCGAATACTCAAAGAGCTTTTAATTCATTGACTTCGGGTGCGTTATTCTGGTGAATCTAACGTTATGCAACGGGAATCCNNT